AGGTTAGAAAATACACTTTGGGTTTAATATAATAGTAGTATATAAATTTGTATAATGTAATATGCGAAATTGAGTTGCCGATGACATGTCGATTGCCGCTCGTATAATGCCCGATTGGGAATACGAGGTTGTCTCGGGCTGATGTGAGGCAAGGATTTCCGTAGAGAGACTGTGTTTAACTGCTTGTCTACTTTGGGCAAGCCGGGATATGGGCTGTTCTGGAGCCATGCACTGGTATTTGACGCAATGTTGCTAGGAACTGTAGGCTCGAGGTTTGCAGCTCAGAGCTACAACGAGCACAAAAAACTTAGCGCCAAGATACAAGCAATAAAATAACAAAATACCTGAGTAAAATAATAGATAGAATATTATAATCAAGGTAGCATGTTAAAGTTAAATTAATTATTAATATAAAGGTCTTCACAGCGGTCTAGGCCGAATCTACCCTGTATTAAAGCAATGCCCTACCTAGCTCCACCTTATCCAAGCTCTGACAGCGCTCTACTAACTGAATCAAGCCCCTGTGCACGCTGACATCCAGTTATGTACCCAAAAAACAAGCCATGTCTACAATCCAACCATTAAAGTCTCGTATCTCAGTCTTCCTTCCAGCCTCTATGTCCTGCAACATAGAGCTGCGATGTTCAAAGATCTTGAGACCAAAGGCGTATAGCTTTGCTTTCAAGATTGGCTGTGAGAACCTTTCCATCAGCCTTTTCCGAACTTTGGGGACGCTTTGTGGCAGATTGCAGCCCGATTTTGTCTGTTCAGCGTAGTAAATGATAACGCTACGACTCGTATCATGGTCAATAAGACCTTGGATAACAGCACTTGTTTGCCAGAGGAGCCTGTCTATCACCCTTGACAAAGGATCATCAAACTCATAGGATGTAAGCAATTCCCCCGTTTTGCAGCGCAGTAAAGCCGTAAGTGGATTGATCGACGCATTCATGACCAACTTCTCCAACTGAAGCAGCCAAATCTCACCCGAAGACACCTGCTTCGTGTTCACAAGCGGTGTCGAAGCAATATGCCGGATAAAGAAGTCATCCGATGGCTGCTTCCCCGGTGATTCGGGATCAGATGCCCAAAACACAGGTCCGATGTATGCGTCAGCCGGAGCCGCATGGATGCTCAAGAAAGGACCTGCTGATGCAACCCCATGACTCACAACACACGCGGAGAATGTTGGAGTGTCGCCGCTTGGGTAGCGATGAGAGATGTATAAAGGACCGTGGGGAGGCCAGAGTTTGCAGACGCCATTCTGGGCAAAGACGACGGAGCTGCACCTCCCAAGGTAGCGGCGAATACGGTCTCCTTCGGATAATCCAGCTTCTGCCTTTGTGGAGATAAAGACGTTGTGAAGTTTCTTTCCGTCTGCGACTTCTTTGACTGGACCGTATTGAGGTCTTGTTTCTGTCCACCATTCAACGGTGAAACGTTTGTTGAGGAAGAGTTTGCCACTGGTTAGGTCTGCGAGGCCAACGCCTTCACATGCGACCCACTGCGATAGCAATTCTTTTCTATGAATGGCGAGAGTGATGGGAAGGGCATTGGGATGACGAGCCATGTGAGTTGCGTACAGTCGGCCGATGTTGCCAGGACCAATGATGTAAATGCGTTGGTCAGAGTTTGTTGATGGACCGACACAAGCATCGTGGTCGTACTCTTCATCGCTGTTGGAACTTCCCATGTCAATACCTTCATCAAGCTTTGGCTGGATATTGGCGGGCGACCAAGCGAATAGCTTTGGGGGCGGCCTTGTATCGGCTAGGAAGGCCGTCAGCCAGGTTGGGTGTTCTTGGGAAGCCATGGTGCTAGGAAATGGTCATTCCTTCTCAGAACAAGTTGGAGAGATCGAGTGCTGGTAAGGGAGTCGGTGTCTGAGTGGTTGTTTTGCTTACGGGTTTACCGTGTGATAGAGGTAGTGAAGCAAAGAGACAGGAGGGGATTTGCTATACAGTGTCATGAAGGCTACTGCAAAAATACCTGGGATTATTTTAGACTACTGTTACTATTATCGTAAGTCAGTTTGTAATTAATTAGTCATAATCAGATACTGTGATAATGAATAGTATCTTGGCCCTTCAGTAGCTCACTTTCCATCAGGGCATCGCCCTCTCAACCGCTAACTACACTGCTCGATCCGGCAATTGGCCACTACCGGCAACTGCCCGGCTCGCATAGATTCGTAACCCGCGTGCTACCGAGACACGGGATGGTTCAGCATGCAGATTACAATCTCCGACTGATTGGCCCGTTTCTCCCACCCCCTCACGGCGCGCTGTAGGATTCACCCGAGGGTAAGAGCTACTTATGCAGGTCAGCGCCACAAACACCGATTATCAATCCTTCTGCAAGATAACCCGTCGTAGCCAATAATTGCAATGGGCCAATTGCAGGATCAGGATCTGCCAGAACCTGAATCATATGAAGGATCAGCAGGTCAGCTGAAAGTAACATCGCAGTCAAACCTGCAGGTTGTGATGCCGCCGAGAAATGACAGCGGATAACATCGCGCTAGGCTGGATGAGACACAATATGCCTCGTAGGATCTTTTGGTGAGACCTCATGATGGAAGCATCGAGAGTCTTAGACATGGGATGATCGTTCGTTCGGTCTAGGCCGAGATAGAATCGAGTATATCCTCCCCAGCACGGCATTTCAACAAGACGTCATTGACTGTGCTGGGAGTGACAAGCAGCGATCCATTGGCCATGTTACTTATGAGATCAGCAATGATATTGACATTTCAAAATTGGCTGCTGCTTGGAAAGATACCATCAACAGAACTCCTGCTTTGAGGACCTGTTCCTTCACTTCCAAGAATGGAGACTCGTACCAGGTCATCTTGAAAGACAGCTTTGTCTTCTCATGGATGTTTTCCACCTCTGTTGATCAGAAAGATGCTGTTGTGCAGGATGAAGCAGTAGCTGCGGCTTCTGGCCCTCGCTGCAACAGATTTGTTCTTCTGGATGATCCAATCGCGAAGAAGAAGCTCCTCATCTGGACTTTCAGTCATGCTCTTGTTGACAGCGTCTTTCAGGAACGAATCCTTGGTAGAGTTCTGAAGGCTTACAAGCATGGGCAAGATGAACTTTCCGACAGACCCTACACGCCTGAGTCGTCTGATCCTGAGGATGATGGGTTGTCGTTGACTCCAACTGATGGGTCGAAGACTCCAGAGACTGGGGGTATTTATTCTGCGACTCAGTTCTGGGAGGAGTACTTAAGTGATCTGAATGCTTGGGCGTTTCCGCACTTGACTTCTCCCTTGGCTGTTCCCTACCCCGAGGCAAAGTCAGAGCACCGCATGAAGTTTCCAACTTCGGCTCAGTCGACTTGGCCCCGTGTTTCTGTCTGTAGGACTGCCCTTGCCGTACTCTTGTCACGCTACACGCACTCGCAAGAGGCGCTGTTTGGCGTGGTGACAGAGCAACAGCTGCTGGCAAATGGTCCAACACAGACTGTTGTCCCCTTCCGCGTACACTGCTCTTCTGACCAGTCTCTGTCAAACATCATCAGTGCAGTCAATGCCAACAATGATGCCATCCGCCAGTTTGCAGATGTCGGTCTTCGCAGCATCGCCTCCTCTGGAGATGATGGCTCTGCTGCTTGCGGATTCCAGACTGTTCTGTTAGTCACTGATGGCGATACTGAGCAGGCTGCAAACTGTGAGATTCACCAGAAGGTTGGAGAGTCTGAGCTATTCATGCCCTGCACTAATCGTGCTCTGCTTCTCCACTGTCAGGTGGACAGTGATGGGGTATCCGTCATTGCCAGGTATGACAAGAGCTTCATCGATTCCCAGCAAATAGCTCGCCTTCTGCAACAGCTGGATCATTTGATTCAGGTCCTACGAGGCTCTTCAGACACTTTGACGTCTGTAGGAGAACTCCAGATGATCACACGAGAAGATCAAGCTGAGATCCAAAACTGGAACTCAATCCCCATCCCTTCCCGACCAACCCTCATCCACAAAGAGATGCTCAAAACATCATCACTCTCCCCTTCGAAGCCCGAAATCTGCGCATGGGACGGGGAATGGACTTACTCTGAACTCGACAACATCACCTCCCGCTTGGCCGCACTCATCAAGCTTAGTACCCCAGACCAAGAGCACGCGATACTTCCTATTTACTTCGAGAAGTCCAAATGGGTCGTTGCTTCAATGCTCGCTGTGATGAAAGCCGGTCATGCCTTTACACTCATTGATCCGAATGATCCGCCTGCTAGAGTGTCGCAGGTCGTTGGGCAGACGGGCGCGACAGTAGCTCTTACTTCAAAGCTATACAAAGGCAAGGTAGAGGCCATTGTTGAGCGATGCCTTGTTGTTGACGATGACCTTGTTCAATCTCTCATCTGCACTTGCGGCTTCAATCCAGATCTTGTTCTTGCGACGGTTACTCCAGAGGACTTGGCCTACGTTATCTTTACGTCCGGTAGCACAGGCGACCCCAAGGGCATCATGATTGAGCATCGAGCCTTTTCGTCTTGTGCCCTCAAATTTGGTTCTGCACTCGGTATCAACAGCGACACGCGCGCTCTTCAATTTGGATCTCATGCCTTTGGCGCGTGTCTTCTCGAGATCATGACGACTCTGATCCTCGGCGGTTGCGTATGCATTCCCTCTGATGACGATCGCATGAACAATGTTCCCACTTTCATCAATCGGGCCAACGTCAATTGGATGATGGCGACACCGTCTTATATGGGCACGTTTCAGCCTGATGATGTCCCTGGACTGCAGACTCTGGTGCTTGTTGGGGAGCAGATGTCGCCGTCTGTTAACGCCACTTGGGCTCCTCGCGTTCATCTCTTGGATGGCTACGGGCAGAGCGAGAGTTCTTCCATCTGCTTCGTTGGAAACATTGGCTCATGTGGAGCTGATCCAAACAACATAGGTCGCTCTGTTGGCGCGCATTCTTGGATCATCGATCCCCGCGACCACAATCGTCTGGTCCCGATCGGCGCAATCGGTGAACTTGTCATTGAGAGTCCAGGCATTGCGCGCGACTACATCATCCCTCCACCAACAGAGAAGTCACCGTTCTTCTCAACAGTTCCAGCTTGGTATCCTTCTGAACATCTACCTGATGGATTAAAGTTCTACAGAACTGGTGATCTTGCGCGTTATGCGTCTGATGGCACTGTTGTTTGTCTTGGCCGCATGGACTCGCAGGTCAAGATTAGAGGACAACGTGTCGAGCTTGGGGCTGTGGAGACGAATCTCCGACAGCAGTTGCCTGACGACTTGTCAATTGTTGTTGAAGCTGTCAAGCCGTCGGATTCACCTACGAGCACTATCCTTGTCGCCTTCTTGATCGCCTCTGAGGCAGCTGAGTCTGCGAGCGATGCCAGCATCTTAGATCTGGCTGCGACCAAGGACACAAGTGCGAAGCTGGAGCAGGTCCTCCCTCGCCATTCTATCCCATCGTGCTACATCAGCATGCAACACCTTCCTCGCACCGCCACCGGCAAGGTCGACAGACGAAAACTTCGCTCTATAGGTCGCGACATGTTGGCCCAGCAGCTACAAGGAACCAGTTCCCGACCATCTCAATTGAGCTCTCCATCAACCAGCGGCCAATTTAAGCTGGAGGAGGTTTGGTGCCAGTGCCTGGGTCTTGAACCCGGTGCTCCAAACATTGGATCAACCTTCTTTGAGCTGGGTGGCCACTCCATCACTGCCATAAAGATGGTCAACATGGCAAGGTCAGCAGGTATTGAGCTCAAAGTCTCTGACATTTACCAGAACCCTATCCTCGCTGGACTTGAGGCAATTGTCAACGGTAGCGCTGTGCCATACGCGATCATCCCAACGATGACTCGCGATAGACCAGTTGAGCAGTCTTACTCTCAAGGTAGACTCTGGTTCCTAGATCAACTAGAAGTCGGCGCTCTATGGTACTTAATTCCGTACGCTGTTCGTATGCGAGGATTAGTAGACATCGCTGCGCTGAGTCGTGCTCTGATGGCCTTGGAGCAGCGTCACGAAACCTTACGGACTACCTTTGAGGATCATGACGGCACAGGTGTGCAGATTATTCACCAGACTCTCTCCAAAGAATTGAGAGTCGTCGATGCGACAGATGGTGACTACCTTCGACTCCTGGAACAAGAGCAGACCACTCCATTCGATCTCACCTCCGAAGCAGGATGGAGAGCACTACTCATACGCATAAGCGATACCGACTACGTCCTCTCCATCGCGATGCACCACATCATCTCTGACGGCTGGTCAATTGACGTTCTGCGCCACGACCTCAGCCAACTCTACGCCGCAGCTCTTCAAGGCCGTGACCCTCTCTCAGCCATGAATCCTCTCCCCATCCAGTACAGCGACTTTGCCATGTGGCAGAAGCAAGAAGCTCAAGCGCTAGAACATGAGAAGCAGCTTGAATATTGGAAGAAACAACTTGCTGATTGTTCACCTGCCAAGTTACCCACGGACTTCCCTCGTCCAGCTCTGCTCTCAGGTGAAGCAGGCGTTGTGCCAGTGTCCCTTGACGGGGAACTGTACCAGAACCTAAGGGAGTTCTGCAACGAAAACAACACTACCTCATTCGCCGCGCTACTAGCTGCTTTCCGCGCAGCACACTATCGTCTCACAGGTGTTGACGACGCTGTCATCGGCACACCCATCGCCAACCGCAATCGCTGGGAACTAGAAAACATCATCGGCTTCTTCGTCAACACACAGTGCATGCGCATCACTGTCGATGACGAACATACGTTCAGCTCCCTAGTCCGTCAAGTCCGAGCTACGACCACCGCGGCATTTGAGAACGAAGACGTACCGTTCGAGCGCGTCGTGTCAACAATGTTACCTGGTTCACGAGACCTTTCACGAACACCGCTTGCGCAGCTCATCTTTGCAGTTCACTCGCAGAAGGATCTTGGAAGGTTTGAGCTCCAGGGTCTTGAATCGGAGGCTGTTGCTAGCAAGGCGTATACGCGGTTCGACATTGAGTTTCATCTCTTCCAAGAGGCTGGCGGGCTTAAGGGTAGTTGCAACTTTGCGACGGATCTGTTCAAGCCGGAGACTATTGAGAATGTGGTCAGCGTGTTTTTCCAGATTCTGCGCAATGGTCTTGAGAAGCCGAATGTTCCTATCTCGGTTCTGCCTCTTACTGATGGGATTGAGGAGCTTCGGCGCTTGGACTTACTCAGGATCAAGAAGGTTGACTATCCGAGGGATGCAAGCTTGGTTGACATCTTCCGCACGCAAGTCGCTGCTTATGCGGACTCTTTTGCAGTCGTGGACTCTTCTACGCGACTTACTTATGCAGAACTTGACCGTCAGTCAGATCTGCTTGGGACATGGCTTCGTAAGCGGAATATGCCGGCTGAGACTTTGGTCGGAGTGCTTGTACCGCGTTCATGCGAAGCGATTGTCGCCATCATAGGTATCCTCAAGGCGAACTTGGCTTACCTCCCGTTTGATGTCAATTCCCCCTCTGCCCGCCTGAACGGCATTCTGTCAGGGTTAACTGGACCTAAGATAGTGCTTCTGGGCTCAGACGTCCCTGTTCCCGAGCTGGAGGTGCCTGACTTGGAGCTTGTTCGTGTCCCTGATGCCGTAGAGCAAGGCGACACAAACAAACTCAACGGCCATGCCAATATCGACACATCAAATCCTACCGCCACAAGTCTTGCATACGTCCTCTTTACCTCTGGATCAACCGGTCGACCCAAGGGCGTCATGGTAGAGCACCGCGTCATCGTCCGTCTCATGACAAGCAACATCATCCCCGACTTCCCAACTCAACCGCGCTCAGCCCACATGTTCAACATCGCCTTTGACGGCGCCACTTACGAGATATTCTTTACGCTCCTCAACGGTGGAACATTGGTCTGCATTGACTGCATGACTACTCTTGACGTCAAGGCGCTTCAAGATGCGTTCATCAAGGAACAGATCAACGCTGCGTGCATGGCGCCTGCACTATTGAAGCTGTATCTCACTGATGCCTGTGATGCTTTGAGAGGTCTTGACTTTCTCATGGCTGCTGGCGATCGCTTCGATGGTCAGGATGCTATTGAGGCCCAGAATCTGATTCGGGGACAGTGCTATAATGGGTATGGACCAACGGAGAATGGTATCATGAGCACGAGATATCCTATCGCTGTTGGTGACTCGTTCATCAATGGCGTTCCCATTGGGAGAGCTGTTAATAACTCTGGAGCTTACGTTACCCGATTTAAACCAGCAGCTTGTTGGTGTCGGTGTCATGGGAGAGCTCGTCGTCACCGGTGATGGTCTTGCGCGAGGATATTTCGACCCAGCCCTCAACAAGAACCGCTTCATTCACATTGAAGTCGATGGCCAACGAGTGAGAGCCTATCGCACTGGTGATCGCGTACGGTACAGAGTAGGCGATGGCCTAATTGAGTTCTTCGGTCGCGTGGACACACAGTACAAGATCCGCGGCAACCGTATTGAGTCAGCGGAGGTCGAAGCTGCTATGCTAAGCCATGCCTCTGTCCGCGACGCTGCTGTCGTCGTGCAGAAGGATGATGGTGACAAGGCTGACTTGGTTGGTTTCGTCGTCATTGATCATGATCATTCGTCGGAGGGCGACGCGAATGATAACCAGGTTGAGGGCTGGCAGGACCATTTCGAGACTGAGATGTATGCCGACATTGGGGATATTGATCCGTCCACAATTGGGAAGGACTTCAAGGGCTGGACGTCTATGTATGACGGGAGTGAGATTGACAAGGTGGAGATGCAGGAGTGGCTTGACGATACTATCAAGACGCTTCGTGATGGTCAGGCTCCAGGTCATGTACTCGAGGTCGGGACTGGTAGCGGCATGATCTTGTTCAACCTTGGCGACGGACTTCAGAGTTACAGAGGTCTTGAACCATCCAAGTCTGCCGCCACATTCACCAACAGCGTCCTCAAGTCCGTCCCGTCTCTCGCAGGCAAGGCAGAGGTCCACGTCGGTACAGCGCAAGACATCAGCCAATTGAGCGATCTTCACCCAGACCTCGTGGTGGTCAACTCAGTCGCGCAGTACTTCCCTTCACCAGAGTACCTGGCTCAAGTGGCAGACACTCTGGTCCATCTCCCCGGCGTCAAGCGTCTGTTCTTTGGTGACATGCGAACGAATGCTACCAACAAGCATTTCCTCGCTGCCAGGGCTGTTCGGACACTGGGTGACAACGCAACGAAAGATTCTGTTAGGCAGAAAATGGGGGAACTGGAGGAGCGCGAGGAGGAACTACTTGTTGAACCAGCCTTCTTCACGATACTACAAGATCGCTTTCCCGACTTGGTCCACCATGTCGAGATTCTGCCAAAGAACATGCATGCTACAAATGAGCTTAGTGCGTACCGGTATGCGGCTGTGGTGCATATACGTGGTCACGACTCGGTCCCTGTGCATACGATTGAGAAGGGTGCTTGGGTCGACTTTGGCGCATCACGAATGGATCGCGCGTCTCTCTTAAAGTTTCTGCGACGTTCGAAGAGCTCGTCGACCGTGGCCATAAGCAACATTCCCTTCGCCAAGACCGCCTTTGAGCGACAGATTGTTGAGTCCCTTGAGGAAGAGGATAAGTCCAAACTCGATGGCGCCGCTTGGATCTCAACTATTCGCTCTGAAACTGACAGCCGTGCGTCTCTCTCTGTTCCTGACCTTCACGAACTCGCTCAAGACGCTGGGTTCCGCTTGGAGGTCAGCGCGGCGCGTCAGTGGTCTCAGAGCGGTGCCCTTGATGCCGTCTTCCATCACTTACCGTCCCCTTCGGACACTCGTCGCACGCTGATCAAGTTCCCGACCGATAATCACCTGCGAAGCTCAGCGACCCTTGCCAATCGTCCGCTACAGGGATTACAGCGTCGTCGTGCCGCATTACAAGTCCGCGAGCGATTACAGTCTCTACTACCGTCATACATGATCCCCTCCAGCATCGTAGTCTTGGAACAAATGCCTCTCAATCCCAACGGCAAGGTCGACAGGAAGGAACTTGCGCGCCAGGCTCGGATTGTACCGAAGCAGCAGACTGCACTGCCTGCGCAAGCGGTGCCTATCAGCGACATCGAGGCTATACTCTGCGACGAAGCGACCGCGACGTTTGGGATGAAGGTTGACATCTCTGATGACTTCTTCAAACTCGGCGGACATTCCCTCTTAGCTACGAAGCTCATCTCGCGAGTCGAACAGCGCTTCAATGTCCGCGTCACCGTCAAAGACGTTTTTGACAATCCCGTCTTTGCTCATCTTGCAGTCATTATTCGTGAAGGCCTTGCTTCACGCAGCACCTTGACTAATGATTAAGACAAGCAAGGCTGGTCTGCCCGTGTCGCCCCTCGTACCGAGACTGAGATCATCTTGTGCGACGAGGCCTCCAAGCTTCTTGGTATCGAAGTTGGTATCACTGACAACTTCTTTGATCTCGGTGGACACTCGATGATGGCGACAAAGCTCGCCATGAGACTTGGTCGGCGACTGGATGCTACGATAGTGGTCAAGGATGTCTTCGACTACCCGGTTTTGTTCCAGCTGTCCAAGAAGCTTGAGTCTGCTAGGTCGGGGACTGGTAATGACGAGGCGCACCTCGATGAGTACAACCAATTCGAGCTTCTCTCACTCGAGGATCCGCAAGGTTTCGTCCAGCGAGAGATTTGCTCACAGCTCAACATCTCATTGGAATCGATTCAAGATACCTACACGTCCACCCAGATGCAAAAGTCATTCCTCTTCAGTCCCGGAACTGGCTCCCCAAGACCTCTCGCGCCCTTCTACATTGACTTCCCGGTCGACTCAGACCCAGCTACCCTCTTCAACGCCTGTCATCTCCTAGTTGAGCACATCGACATGTTCAGAACAGTCTTTGTGCTGGCTTCAGGTCAGCTCTATCAAGTGGTTCTGAAGCATCTCGACGTGCCAATTGAGACGATTGTCACTAACCAAAACGTCAACACGGCTACCAACGATTTCCTGTATGAGCACGCACAAGACCCCATTCTTCTAGGAGAGTCGTTAATACGTATCGCTATCCTCAAGCAGTCATCTTCAGTACGAGTACTACTGCGACTATCGCACGCTTTGTATGATGGCCTGAGTTTAGAGCCTATCGTGCGTAACCTACATATCCTCTTTAACGGCATGTCTCTGCTTCCACCAACACAGTTCAGGCGGTACATGGAGTATACAGCCAACAGCCAAGAGAAGGGCTTTGAGTTTTGGCGTGGCGTGATTGGGGACTCTCCTATGACTGTCTTGAGCGATGCGACTAACGCGGCTTGTCCTCGGGAGATGTCAACTTCCAAGGCCCTGCACTTGTCAAAGGTCGTCAACGTTCCGAGCCAAGCTATTCGCAGCAGCATCGCCACGCAGGCGACGGTGTTCAACTCTGCTTGTGCTTTGGTGCTCTCGAAGGAATCTGGGTCCAGCGACGTTGTCTTCGGTCGCATTGTCTCAGGCCGTCAGGGCTTGCCTGTCAATTTCCAGGCCATCATCGGCCCATGCACCAATGCCGTCCCTGTTCGCGCACACGTAGGTACAGATGAGACTCATCACCAGATGCTTCGCGACATGCAAGACCAATACCTGCGAAGCTTGCCATTCGAGACCCTTGGCTTCGAGGATATCAAGCGCAACTGCACGGACTGGCCAGAAGCAACCACGAATTTTGCATGCTGCGTGACATACCATAACTTTGAGTATCATCCCGAGAGTGAAGTGAAACAGCAGCGTGTTGAGATGGGAGTCTTGTCGAAGCATGTTGAGCTCAGGAAGGATGAGCCGCTGTATGATCTGGCGATAGCGGGAGAGGTTGAGCCTGACGGGATGAGCTTGAAGGTCACCATCATTGCGAGGGCGCATTTATTTGAGGAGGAGACGGTGCAGTATTTCTTGGACGAGGTTTGCAACACATTTCAGGCCCTGAACCTTTCTTTATAACGTGTCTCAGTACACGTGTCCGAGCCAGTGGAAGGGGAAGTAAAGAGTACTGGGTGGAGATCTAGACCAGTAATGCCGAAGGCCAGCAACGTCATTTGTCATGTAGTGTAATTCATTCTATCGTTTATTCTTCATTAAAAATGACTGAATTCTATCTATCATTACTCTCTTTCAACACCCTCCCCTCATCGAGGTAGTCATCCTGTGTAGCCTTCCCTATCATGCTCGCCGAGTCGTCGCCTACTATAGTTGCGAGTCTTTTCCATTAACTACACTGCTAATAAATTGCTGCAAGAGTCAGCAACAGTGTGACTCCCATTATCAAGGCGCTTCCGGTAGTCAACTTATCTGCCCCGTTCTTCTTGGAGCTCCCCGTAGCCTTACTGCTACTCCCAGTCGAGGTGCCAGTGGAGCCTGTTGAATCGCCGCTAGCATCAGAACTGCCATCACTATTAGAGCTCCCCTTGTTATCAGAACTGTCCTTGCCTACACCAGCAGCGGTGATAGTATAGACAGTTCCGTCGCCTCCGTTGGTGTACGAAAAGACCTTTCCGCTGGCCGGTGCCGTGACTGAGCCTGGGTTGTTGCTCAAGGTGGCGGTACCAGTCTTGAGGGGATCATCAGGCTTGTAGTATGTGCTGACGCCCTCCAGGGAGTACGAGAGCTGAGACGAGCAATCATACGTCTCCATATATGACCCGCAGGATTTGTAGTCGACATTCAGCTCGGACTCGAGGGTGGATATTTGCTTCAGGCCGATCAGGTTGGGGTCCGTCTTGGGGCAGATCTCGACGATGCTATTGCATGTTAGTGTCAGTGACTGGATGACTAAAATTTAGCGTACCTGGACAGAGCTCCGCTGATCTCACAGCAGTTACAGCCCTCAATTTTCTGCAGATTGCTTCCCGCATCGCCCGAATTGGCACTGTTCGAGCACGTCCCTGTCTGTTGAATGGCATCCTGGATGTTGAGATAGACTTGCCCAACGTTACAAGAGCAAGCGCCCTGCGCATTCTTGGGGGCGGGAAAGTAGGGAACCGGTTTCTTGGCGGTATCGCAGTTCATGAAATACGAAACCACGTACTCCTGATACTCGCATTCCCAGACCCTGTTCCAGCAGAAGGCCGCGTAGCAGTTGAAGTTGTCGACGTAGTCCTGGCAGCCGCATGCGAGGAGTTCTACCTGGCTGTTGTCGTGACGAGCTTGAGCTATGCAGCTGCTTGTCTTCTTGTTCGCAGAGGCCTGGCACTGTTCGAAGCCTGATGCGTCGGCGCAGCCTGAGCTCGTGAGTGTGACATCAGCTGCAACGGCTATAGCAGCCAAGCCAACAAGAAAAAGACCATATACTTTCATGGTACTCTGTAATTACTTGCTAGAACAAAGTTACGGTACAGAAGGGACCAAGATAGTGCTTGTTTGATGGAGCTGCTAGTGTCTGTTATGTACTTGTGCGGGTGTCTTTCAGCTCTATGCGGGAGACTGTTGGCATAACCCGAGTTATCCGCATTCCGCCTTACGAGAGAGGACAGTTGCTGGAATAGATACAGAATAAAGCTTTCATTTAGCCTAGACTTGACCAGATTCGGAATGCGAGCCTGCCATATCGCCCTGTTTATATTAAAGGCCCGCATCAAGCGTGCCGAGATGCCGGGCTGAGATATTTCTCTCAGCTCTCATATCCGTTATGTGATGAAGCATGCTGGCTACTGCGCTGTTTGGTTCACTTACTCAATAACTTCTTTAGCATTGGAACTTTGTCAATGGATGATTAAACAATACAGAGCTGTGAGAGCGAGGCAGTTATCTGCTAAACAGGATCACTGGCATTCTCATTTACATTTCCCCCACGTGGATACGATCCAAACTACAGAGTAGGGTGGAGAGCATTCCGCGTCTTCAGCCTTATTGTCGCGTCAGAATAACCTTCGATTCCGCTGGCTAGCGGAATGAACCCGTTTAACCTATCCTGATCTAAAAATAGTATACCTGTTATCTGTTATCGGACTGGTAGCTTTTAAGCTGCTGTTCTTATTTTGTAGCCATGTGTATGTAAGGGAAATCTGAGTCTTGAACCACTAAACATAACAGAAGTAAACTTCCTTTATTATAAAAGGGCTTGTGTTAGTTAGCACCTAGGAGTAAATTAGAGACGTGAATAATAAAGACTAACTACTAAACAGAATAAAAACAATTATACAAGCTGTATTCTAAAATTGACACTCTTTAGGGTAAGTTGACCTCACGGATTGTAGGTGGGTGTGAGGTGCTTATCTCGGCGAGCGATAAGAAAATGGGCCAGCTGTTGGAGCGGATCTCCGATAACACGCCAGACATCCAATCACGGTCCCTATCCTACGGTTAACTTTACCAGATCAGGCACGTACCGGAACCTCCCCGGCATACCGGAATTGCGGGGTAGCGAGCGCGTTCTTCTCCCCTTAGATAGAACTTCCGAGATGGAAATCATCATCACTCTGTAAAAGCAGCAGGGCTCCAGTTGTGACCATGACCGACGAGTCAAAAAGACGCCGTGCTAAGAAGGTGAAAACACGGAGTTTGTACATCTCTTAGAGATATAAGAGACTTGGCTAACAGGCGTGTCCAGCTGGCTGTTCAAACTGCAAGAGACGCGTAAGTCGCGGTCTTGTCCAAACAAGGAGTCTGCTTTAATACTAATTTTGAGAAAAGAAGGTAAAATGTGATGAACAGCTGCCAGGATGTAAGAGGTGCGCGAAAGTCGGTGTCCAATGTCCCGGCTATCATAAACCTGTGAGATGGTCGGTCAAATATGAGAGACACATGGTTAATTCGTCGCCAACTGCGGGTAACTCCTTTTCTTGTTTTGACGCAGGTTCCAGAGATCTATCAAACTTGATGCAGCCGATATCAGACCTTGGAATTGTCGAGACTCAGAACGACAATGACTCTGAAGTACAGGCACTTGGCCCTTTCACGCAACGTCCTAGTTCGAGTTTATCTGATACCAGGGAGCACCTGGAGGCCTTTTTGGAAGTACAACCACCCTTGACGTTGAATACAGAACAACCATCGACATTGTACGACGATTTACAAGCCGATGAGGAATTTCCACTTGCGCTCGATGCCTTTGATGATGACTCTCTTTGCCTGACCCCCTACACACCAACTTTACAAACATCACTCATCCTGGACCACTACTTTACAACAGTTTGCCATTTCAACTCATCCTTCGACTCAGCGAATAATCCGTTCCGATCGGAAGTTGCCAGAATGATGGCCGACTCACCCCTACTCTTTGGTTGCGTGTTGAGCATGTCAGCAGCTCATTTGTACCAGGGCGACAAAAGAAGCAGCCATATTCCACTGGAGTTTCAGACTGAGGCAATGTCACATCTTTCACAGACATTGTCCGAGCTTCCTATGAGGACGGAATGCGAGATTGATGACAACCAGCCTACGGCATTGGTATCTTCTGAGAAAATCTTGAATGTTTCAGATGAGTTGCTCTTGAGTATCATATTTTTGGGAATGACCGCGGTAAGTATCTATGCTCCTTTTGTCTGATCAAGACTGGCATATTAACTCATTAGGCTTGGCATGATGTCTCTGCAACCGGTCTCCTACATCTTCACGGGTCACGACAACTATTTAGGTCATGGATAACATCAAAAAAATTGACAGACATCGACAGAAGAAGAAAAATGACAAGAACACAAACATTTGTGGTCTCATCCATGGTATATTGGGAAGCTATGAGCTCAGCGCTCTTCGATCAGCAATACGAAGGCTTGTCACACCTCACAATGTTTTGTGATCCACATCCCCCAGCACTCATCCAGCCTTGTCCATGGACTGGCGTTGCAACGCCCATTTTTGTGTTCCTTGCAAAAACACTCACGCTGGTAAGGAATAGTCAGGCTTTGAAGAGCTTGCGGCTTTTTGAATCTGGAGAGATTCATCGGAGGGCCCTGTACGCTGAGTTACTCTTTAAAGCAACTAGTCTTGAACATGAGATCGTGGGGTATCGGCTGCCCTCTGTTGGTCTTATTGATGAAATTGGAGACCCTTGTACAACGCCTGATCACTTGCTGGATATTTCTCGCTGCTATCGCATGGCTGCCCTACTAGAGCTCTATTCTGCATTTCCGGAGACAAAAAGGAGAGAGGGGAGACCAGATGGTGCTATTGATTTGGATCATGGTGATAACAAGACACACCTAGCCCTGGGACTGGCATTTAGCATATTAGAAATCTTGGAAAAGATTCCAGATGACTCAGGGACAATATCGATACAGCTTCTGTCACTGCTCATCGCTGGAAGTGCCCTGGGGCCCATCTTACCAAGGGGAGAAGATGATGGACCAAAGAGATTGGGAATACTTCGTCTGCGGACATTTGTTCGACAGCGGATCCACAAGATGTATGCGGCTGTTCGTTTGGGGCCAATTGGAAACGCCATGCTTATACTGGAGGAGGTTTGGGCGCGTATGGACATGGTGCCCGCAGTTCAGAACGCGTACTCAGCAACATCGAGCTTTCACTGGATTAGTATCATGTCGGAAAAAAGGCTTGAGACAATGTTTGGATGACCTTATAAATACTACCATTTGTTAAAAAAGCGGCAGTTCGGCATCTCATGAAATGCGTTCTCTTTGCTTATGACTACTTGCAGATATACTTGGCGCATTGATCTCTTAGTAATTACATCTTATGCACAGGTAAATGCTACGCTGTTTGTGTCGAATGCTAAACTCCGGGATACCTGCGTTATTCCCGTCGCTCGTAAGTTCCAGTCTAGTACTAAAATGGATGCAAAGTGCGAGTTGCTTGGCCTCGGAACGTCGGAATGGCCACTTTAGCCATCTTATCATCAACCTCGTACATTTTGTCCCAATGAGGAAATAGGCTTCATCAGACCTCCACTACCTACATATAATGCGGCCATGTTGTCTATCAATGGTCTTGAGTATATCCTCACATATTCCTCTTGTCATCAGCATCGCATCAAGTCATTATGCCAACTTCAAAAGAAGGTTATCTCTGGACCAGCAACGGCCTCACAACTGGCCTCGCAACGGACTCTGTTATCAAGGGTACACCCGAATCTTCACTTCTTGAAAAATATGATGTTGTTGTAATCGGAACAGGCTTTGCTGGACTTATCGCTGCCCGAGATATCAGTTTGACCACTGATAAGGTTCTTCTTGTCGAAGGCCGCGATCGCATCGGCGGAAGAACATGGACAGCCAAAGCTTTGGGCGAGGAGTTTGAGATGGGAGGGACATGGGTTCATTGGTAAGACCGTTGTGTGATGGGTGATACATAGTTCTGATGCAGTGATTGCAGGGGCCAGCCACACGTTTACTCAGAGATTCACCGCTATAATCTTCAAGGAAACCTCAAGACCTCAGCTGGAACAGCAGACGCCAAGTATACAGCTTATACTGCAAGCCTTTCTGGTCCAAGCAAGCTTGATACCAAAGAGACAAACAAAGTAGTTCAGAGAGTAGCCGATGCCTTCTTTGACATTGACGGCTTGACCAGTTACGATCTAATGCCATATCCCCACGATCCATTGCGCGAGCCTGCTTTATGGAAGAAATATGAGCACCTCTCCGCAAAAGACCGCCTTGACCAGTTAAGCGTTCCTCAGGTCGAGAAGGACATGTTTGATGCCATGATAAGCTCTTTTGGCTCTGTGCCAGGCTCACAATGTGGCTTTGTCGAAGTGCTGCGATGGTATGCACTTGGTGGCCATTCCATGGCTGGCGTCTTCGAGCGCGCTGGGCTCTTTAAGCTTGGAAAAGGTGGTATGACATCGCTAGCACTGTCAATACTGTCTGAGTATAGAGGGCATCTACTGTTCAATACTGTGGTTGAGACGGTCAGCCAGGAAAACAAAGGGGTCACGTTGACTGCAAAGAACGATCGACGTATCGAGGCCAAATACGTGATCTCGACTATCCCTCTGTGAGTACTGCCCATATTTATTGTAGCTACACCTGGAAGCTGACAATTATTTAGAAACTGCTTGTCGGATATCTCATTCAATCCTCCTCTCTCGCCAGTCCGCCAAGAAGCTGTCAAGGCAGGCCATATCAACCAAGGTGCCAAGATCCACTTCAAGCTGAAGAAAACCGAGCCTGGCTGGTTCGCTATGGCAAGCGGCTACGGAAGGTCTCCGTGGTGCTTTGCATTCTCTGACCACAATGGCAACACTGACAAGAACAATGGTACATATTGCATTGGCTTTGGCTATGGTGGGCATCTCGCGGACCCACAGGCTACCCAAGACATCACCACAAGCTTCAAGGAATACATCAAACCTGATGCCGATGTCGAAGCGTATCTCACCCACGACTGGATGAATGATGATCTTGCAAAAGGGACATGGAGCTGCTGGGGACCTGGCCCGGCCATGAGTCGCTGGCTTAAGGAGCTTCAGACGCCTCATGGAAGAGTCCTTTTCGCCAGCGCTGACTGGGCTAATGGATGGAGAGGTTTCGTTGATGGAGCTATTGAGAGTGGTGTTACAGTAAGTGTTAGTGTCATGAGGTTGTTATGCTGGGAAAGTTCTTTATGTAAACTTTAATAATAAATAGCATACTTAGATTTAAAAATCTTTCTGACCTTTTACATCCTCCGAACCTTTCTTAAATTCTTTCAAATCTTTTTTTAAATCTTTTTCACTTGTACTTCCCGCTTTTTCTTCCTTTATCATCTCCAGCTCTTCGATGCTCTCTTGTTGTATTGCATCTTTCCACCTTGCCGCATAATCTCTCCTCATCCTTTCATAGTCATACTTTGTGTGTTTTTCATGACGCCGCCATGCCTTCTTACCTTTAGCTGCTATCATCTTTTTCTTTTTCTCTTCCCTGTCCCTCTTTATAGCCATTGACTCCGAATCCTGCGGTAGAGGACCGTCTGCTGGATCCAATTTTGGTGGGTATCCAAGAGGTGGACAGTACCTAAAATGGGGATCTTCCGTACCGTAGCAGTCCCAGTACGTATCACCCAATGATTTGCATTCATCGTTGTATTTGCAGACAACCCCACCACCCTCATTCCTTCGATTAGGGGCGGCCACAACCATTTGCTTACCATAAGGTTGAGTTTTTATGCCACGTAACTTATCGTGCCTTCTAGCAGGCCTTTGATTTCGAACGGTAACTATATTATCCATCAGCATTTCTCTTATAGAGTACATATAAGTCTGTGACCTACTTGCAGTGTGGGCAACCTTGTACCAGACGCAGACTGTATCACCTTCCTTACCGTGGCAAGTATACGAATTCCCTATTGTCCAGGTTTTCGTAACCGAAAGACCCCAGGTTACGCTGAAATCGAGATTTACTCCAACCGTATCCTGTGGAGCTTTGACACCCACATTGATACCAACCGACGCCATCATTGAGACTCCGTAGGCTATGGCCTTTGACGTATCACTACTAGCACAACAGGTTTGGTTATGGCCACAGTGCACAACTTCCTGTAGTTAGTTAGCTTAAAGCCTTTTTCTCTGTCCTCACTCTTGAAGAGACAAGCCTACGGAGATCTGCTCGAAGAGGTACCTCTGGTGAGGCCATCCTTAATGCAAATGTCAGCTACGTCAAGTCCAGTTAATTGAATCATTATACTTACCAGCACCGTCAAGACTTGTAATTACGGGCTTTTCTTTCTTCTTGGGACAACGGCGACCCATTTTGAGCATCAAGTCTCTTTTGTAAAAGGGCTGTGTCTCATTCCCTGGAGAATAGTCCGGCTCGAGCATCGAGTTTCTCTTGTAAAAGGGCCGTTTCCCATTCCCAGGGTAATAGTCCGGATCTCGCTCCCCCTTTACCGGGGGGTAAGGGCCAAAGCAATCAGTGTCGACCGTCTTATTTTCCGGCATGATGTCTGTATGATCCCAATACAACCTCTTGCAGTAAATAGAGATCCGGTTGTTGACAGGGTCAACATCTGTCTTGCATGAAGGGCCTCCTGAAAACACAGGATTGGGATGAATCGCGTAGGTAGCCTTCCCAACTGTGAAGTTCCCGCTTGTAATGGGTATGATTGAAGTGCTCTCCTCGTCATAGTTCCCATATGGCGGTATTGCGCCTTCACCATTGACTGTAACTTGAGAAAAGTCAATGGGCACAGTAGAATTGATAGTTCTACCACATCTCCCCATAAGGACGCCCCCATTTCTGCGATAGATAACCAGAGAAGACATGTCTTCTTCTGCGTCTAGAATGAAAGAAAGGCTGACTTTCGCCGCAGACGCAACAGACAGAAGTAGGGAAAATGCAGAAAGGAACCGCATCTTGAAGGTGGGAATCTGCTTTTGTGAATGAGGTTAGTTTGTGAACAAGGCTTCACTATCCAGATGCTCGATAGTACTTGCCAATTGGAACAAACCCTGTTGATGCTTCTTGGAGTGTACAAACGTACTAGGATAATGGCTTGAAAAGGATTGTAAACGTACTAACAAATTTTAGACTCGCCAACGGAAGAGCCGGTCATTTTATACATGTTCCTTGTCAACATTCGTAGGAGAAACTTTGAGGGCGCTTCGTATTTACCCCTCAATTCGTTTCGCGGCTGCAACACATGTCGCCGTTGGCAACACCAGAAGCGAAGTCAGTTAGGATCTGTCAGATCACTGTTTTTGTTATCAATTCCCAGGAAGTCTAATCCAGTCAAACTCCCATGTGACTCTCAGTCGAGGTGCTTCTCTGTTATCTGTTCGCGTGCTTTTCGTGTCGGTCAATCTTTGCCTTGTGCTTAGTTGCGAAGAAAACCAAGTGTTCAGGCTGATATTGCAGCAAGAACTTTAGCTTCTCGTTATCTTTGTTAACGAGAATGAGGCTGTCTATCGCTGTCTGGTCATTCATACTATAGAAACCAGTCCTGACGACAAAGAGATTGGCAAACATGGACTCAACTGTGGACTGATGTTGATCAGTTGCAGACCATTTTCTCTCCTCAATTTTTGGAGTTGAGACGTCAATATGAATAAATATGAATGGTATCGACTTGCATTGCATGTGATGATCTGTTCTTTTCTGTTGAGTCTTGTTTCTGTTGAGTGGCATTGAAGTGCAACGAATGCTTCATCAAGGTCGAACTCTCTCTTGATTCCATTGCAACTCACAGAAAACGACAGGAGGTTGCTGTTGTTGTCATTGTTGTTGTTGTCATTTACTTCGTCGTCTGGGTTAAAGCCACGCCTTAATCTGGCGCTTTCCGGTGCCATCGCCAGCGGCTTGGTTATGTCTCAGCATATTGACTTTTCCAACGCCAAAAAGTCAACGCCTCCATTTTCTGTTTGTGGCGGATACTCTCGATGAGAAAGGCCGAATACGAACATTAGATAACCAAAGCTTGACTCCTCCAGTGCCTCGATATACTCGGCATCATTGTCGGTGCCGGGCAGTTTGCCTGGTTGGGATGCACCATACATACTATAGTCGCCGAGCTTCCAACATGGCACACCTTGGATGTCATCGTGTTCGGGGGTTATTATGCTGAGGCTTTCGCCCGCTTTGTCGTATGCGACATATGTCCGAACAGGTGCCGAAGTAAGATTTGTTGAATCAGTACTTGTTTGACGATAATGTGGACAAAGCGACTGGTATGTTGTACAGCCAGCAGAGTCTCAACAAGCTTTGCACAGAACTAGAAAAAGAGCCGATAATAATAAGATGTTATTTGTGGCGTCGATTGGCCCTTTTAGCTTTTGAGACCTCCCGTATTTGTTCCATGGGAGTCTCGCAGACACGAGGTTGCGTATCGAAGGATTTTAATTGAACGCAACTCGGCAGTATTTGCTCGGGTATTTTCTCGATGAGCTTGAATGACACATCAATAAAACGGCACGCAGTGGGAACTCGGCGTCATGATATCCACCCATTCTAGCGGCTTGTAGTTCCTTGCTCGTTGCAACAAGAGCGTCTCCCAAACGCCGGCAGTAAATGTCCAGGCCACACTACGTTGTGCCGAGTACGCTGAAAGATGCAAGAGTACGCGCGGACGCAATAAAAGTTGTCCAGTGAGGACCCATGAAATCGATGATCGATTTCAAGACGCTGCTGTAACGAGCTGAGTTCTCGACATGAACATCCTCAAGCTTGAATACTTGGGTCCAATGCTTGTCTTTAGCATGAGTGGTGCGATATTCAGCAATGAGTGTCATGAAATCTTCACACAGATTGAATTCTGTCACATAGTCGATCACAGGACGGAAAAGACCAATGCGAGGAATGCAGTCTCATGGCAGCGTTCACGACCGACTCTCTCATACAAGGAGCTTCAATCATCTTTGACAACACCATCGGTGGCCCACTCACCAGAGACAAGAAGATTGATAGCGTATTCGAGGTCACGCCCTTTCAAAGCTTCCCAGGCATCAATATCGCGGAAAGGGGGATACTTGGTCGCTTTGCGTGAGGGGCTCATTGAGGGCGACAGACTGGACCTGGGAAGGCAACTTTTTAAGACTGGTTGTTATGAAACTGAGTTCCGTGCGGCCTTTCCGTAGACAAGCTCTCTCATGTCGCGTTAGGGAGAAGATCGAGAATTGGCACAGATCATTTTGCAGGGACTTAAATAGATTCGCCAGATACAGAGTTTTCGTGAATCACATCAGCCGCTTATCCAAATGTGTGTGACAACGATAGGCCGTTGAGAAGGAACAGTATGCCGTGAATGGTGGCTTTTTTTAATTAGTACCTACACTTCACCTTACAACTCTCTATTCAAGTAACAATCGCTTCCTGATTGATTGATTGATGGTAAAGCTTATGAAGTCTGACCTGCCACTTAGGCAATTTCTACCCAGAAGATTGACGGTTTCGGGTATTTCTTTACTGGCATTCCGTCACTGCTGTTGATGAGAAGAGGGATGAAGGACGTCGCTTGCAGTCAGTTCCAACGCAGGTTACTTATCCCATAACAAACTGGAGCGAAATTTGCACCATACCGTGCTAGGAAGCAAGTATACTCGCTTAGAACTTGACCAATAGGACAGTTTGCGCCGATTAGTGCCATCAAATCTCCTTTTCAGCGCCCGATTGGCCTAAAGCCAGTAAATTCCGACCTCGTTGCTCGATACAGGTCTAGACCATCCAATAGTTTTCAGCGGCAAAGCACCTAAGATCAATAGTTTCTTCAAAACCCCTGACTAAATACGGCACAACGGCTGGCTGGTCAGCGCTAAGAGAGCTCGTAAAATGAAGTACGATAATATGGAGATTGCCTTATAGGCTTATTTATCTCCCGACTCCCAAGTGCTCGATTCTAGTGGTTTCTGCTTTGACATTTTACATCCAAGACTATTACAGCCATGATTGCCAAGAATCTTGTTTTCGCTGTGCTAGCGACTCATGCTGCTGCTGGGCCTTGTAAGCCTGGTGGGGTTTCGTCCAACACGTTGTCCGCCAGTGCTTCCGAAACAAGCATCTTGGATTCAGTGATCACAACCACTTCTGAACAAGCCACGACTACAACAAAGGCAGCTGCCACTACGACAAGCGCATCCGTACCCGCTGGAGAGGCTATTATCCTCCAGGTCAACCCTCGGCGTCGGCTGTCGAAGCGAGACACATCGTTCGTGGGTAGCAACAACCCGACCGAATGCACCTTTGCCTCAGTCTTTCACCTTGACGAGGGAAAGCTTTTAGAGAACGGAGTTCCTATTTACTTTGCTGGCAATGGCTTCCAGGAACTTGCTGCTCATGGCGAACCACCAGCTGATGCTGTCACGACGACATTCTCAATTAGCGGGGGCCGTCTTTCATGGACGGATTCGTCGTTTGGCGAGGCTGGGTTCTGTCAGACTGAATCTGATGGACAGGTGTACATCACCTTTGGTTCAGAGCCTACTGGCTGTGAAACTGTTACTCTTATGGCTTATAACGGTATGCAGGACCCGTAGTATCTGCGTTATATCTGGCTAACATGATGATGCAGAGGAGCAATGCCAGAACGGACAGATCATCGGAGTCGAGACGTCCAGTGCCGAAACAACCACTGTAGCAGAGACGACTGCCTCGTCCGATGCTGTCCAGCCCACCACTTCTTCCGACGCCTGTTTTGTCGGTATTGATGGTTTGAACGGCGAGCCTCCACGGGAGAGCCGTCTAGCTGACTGTTCGAGACTGAACACGGTCACAGTTAGCCCATACCCCGAGTAAGACTTGCGTTAATGCTTTTTTTCGATCGTGGACTGATATTTCCAGAACTTCAACCGTATTCAAGCGCGAAGTTGCGTTTCGCATTCCAACAGCCTTCCCGACCTGGCGACCTGCGATGAACACGCTTGCAGCCCGCGCAGAAGGAGAACCAACTGCCACTACCATCCAGCCAACTGAGATCCCTGTCTACGCTACCAACTGCGACTCGCCCGAGGAATACTACGCGGCTTGCTCTGAGGCCGGGATCACTGCGTTCACGACTACTCTTCCTACGACGACTACTTCAACATCGACTACTATTAGCGACTGTCCTGCGAAGCGACTCGTGAGGAGAGCGGGTGAGCATATGGGGTATGAGTTTGAGGATAACTGGGATGCCCATATCATGCCGGGATACAAGCTGTTTTAGACCGTGCTATTTGGATAATTTAGACGTAAATACTAAAGGTGTAAATAGTAGGAATATTTTAAAACTAGTAGAGCTAGCTAGTTTATATAAGCCTTTAAATTATAAAGAATTTAAATTAGCTATAGGCTTTACTTAAAAAGTATATACTTTACCCTTATTATAGCTTAACTTTAATTTATAAAATATATTAAATCTATAGATATAGAAGCCAGACTATTAATTAGTATTAAAAAGAAACTTATATAGTAAAGGATAAAGAAAGAAATACCTATAACTATAATAATAAATAGATAACCTAAAAGATTAATTACTTTAAA